TCAGAATCGGAACTAATCCAGTTACCTATCACGAATGCAGTTCGCGGAAGTTTGGCGGCTAATGAAGTTCGCAACAGATTTGCACAATATTTTGTATCTAACGAAGGTCGCCTCTCCTATCAAAACAACTATGCATAAGTAAAAAGTTAATAATTAAATATCTGTAACTTACCAAACTTGTTTTTCTCATCACCACTTAAATCTTCAAATGTGGGCTGGAAATGAATAAATATTTCTTTCCAGGAATCATATTTAAGCCGCTTATTTTTATAATCGTCGATGGTCTTATCCCATATTACAGGCCTTTCTTGAATCAACGTAATTAATAATTCTTGATTTATGTTCATTTTATAATAAAATCGCGAAACAGCGTATATAAGCGGTCACGAATCCGTGCGTACGTCCGGCACCGTCGACACACCCCGATAGACTGCCATACAACACTGGTGAAAATCACGCCGTGCGTAGACGCGGCGCGCCGAGGGGCAGTCACGGCGCACGCGGCCGCGGCGCCGTGCCTTGGCGCCACCGTGCATGTCGACAAGCTCATATAGTGATCCATACCACACTGACGACCGTGCCTACACGCGGCGAATTAACCGTAGATTTTCACGGCGAGAAACCGTGTAATGGAAAAGAGGCCTTAGGCCGGGTTCCCACTACGCCGGACCGGCAGATCTGCCGAAAACCGGACACCGGACAGAGTGTTCACATTACATCGGATCCCGGAAGAAATTCAGACAGTCCTCAGTTGAATTTGGACCTGCGCGCACAATGGACGACGAAATTGTTGTGTTGTGGTGGTATCTTAATAGAAGGCAAAATAAAAGAAAACATTGGGTACACCCTATTTTACGGGAAAGATTTTCACTTGGAACATTTGAAACATTAATGGGTGAACTTAGAAGAGACGAATCAAAGTTCTTCAATTATTTTCGAATGACAGCAACCACTTTTGACGATTTACTGGGACGACTAGACATAAGAGTACGAGATACAAGTTTCAGAGAATGTATTTGCCCAGAACAAAGATTAGCCATATGTCTAAGGTAAGATTATTTTATGCACTAGATTGCGTAATAATAGTTTTGACGTAGGTACCTACTTAAGACTGTATGAATGAATGAATGTTTGCTATGTATGTTTGTTTCATGAATGTGAATATATATAATGTGTGTGTGTGGGAGGGTGTATGTATTTGATAATCATTATGAATTAAAAATGCAAACAATTATTTAAGTATTTATTTGTACTCAAACTTAAATCCCTTCAAAATCTAAGTAATCTGAGTCTTGGGAATGTATGGAACGATTACTAGATGCTGATGGCGAAGCTGGAATCGGATTCGATGTCTGAGATGAAGTTGATGGTATAGATGTTGTTGCCTGTTGATTGCTACTATTATATTGCGTAGAGTATCCAGGGTAGTGTTGATCTTGCGTAGGTATTGGCTGTTGATTGACGCTATTATGTGTGTAGTATCCAGAATACTGATCTGGTCCGGTTATCTGATTATATGAATCACGCCAATGTCCGTAATTTGGTCTCTCATAATTCCTACTTTTAATTTTTTGCAACATTGTCATGACGCTAGCTTGAAATTCTAAAGTCTCTTCGATAGTTAAAGTGTTCAAGATTGGTATAATGCCTTTGAAGAAAGATAGATGATGGTTTTCCTTTTCTGGGTTTATTCTGGAGTCCAAAAACTTTACCATCCTGTCATTTACCTCTTTATTATCAATTTTTTTTTATCTTTAATTAAAGGTGAACGAAAATCTGATTCCATGCCTACTTCAGTCTCGGTTCTTGCTTTTTTTGAAACTGACTCATGTGGTGGTCGAGGTTCGGAGACTTTTTTCAAAAAACATTAATTGCTCGTGATATAAATAATTTCGTGTCTTTTTGGTCGAAGATCCAGATTTAGACTCATCTTTTTGTTTCTTTACTGTCTTAAGCCACGAATCTCGTATATTATTCCATTTAGTTGAAACCTGTTTTCCTGAAATCAATAAAAAATATCATAAAACAATACAATTTGTTTCTTGGTGACGTATAAAGTAATAATGTATTAACAAAAAAATACTTTTTTTCAGATATTTAGCTTCAGGATGTTCATTCAAAGAAATACATTACTCATACAGAGTAGGCGTTTCGACAATAAGTAAACTAATAAAAGAAATGACCCACGTCATTTGGGAAAACCTAAAGACAGATTTCCTTAAGCTGCCTGATACTGAGAGAGAATGGGAGGACATCGCTTCAGGATTCGAAAGAAAAGCCAACTTTCCTCACTGTCTTGGAGCAGTAGATGGCAAACATATCAGAATTTTGAAACCAGCCAAGAGTGGTTCTATGTTCTTTAATTACAAGGAGTATTATTCTTTTGTATTAATGGCAGTTGTCGATTCAGAGTACCGATTTATTTTTATTAGTGTGGGCTCATTTGGCAAGGAATGCGATTCTAGTATATTAAAGGATAGTACATTTTGGCAAAAGATCAATGATGGTACTTTAAATGTACCAAAGCCTAGACCGCTTCATGAAAACTTGCACGAAGAATTACCGTTTATACTTGTTGGCGATGAAGGCTTTGCTTTAACACCTAATCTCCTACGTCCATATGGAGGTACACATTTGAATACTGATAAAAAGATTTTTAACTATAGACTAAGTCGAGCAAGAAGGTATGTTGAGTGCGCTTTTGGTATTCTGGCAAATAAGTGGCGAATAATCCATCGAGCTATAGATCTCAACGTAGACACAGCAATTCAAGTAATTAAAGCTTGTGCAGTCTTACATAATTTTGTAAGAGAAAAAGATGGTATAAATTTTGAAAGTTACCAAAATATAGAACATAGACAAGAACAAGAAACTACACCCATGAATCGAAATGTGTCGAGTCGAGGTGGCCCTAATGCCAACGCTATACGGACATCATTTACTAATTATTTTGTTTCAGATATTGGTTCCGTTCCGTGGCAGGCAGCAGCTATAAAATAAAATTTATCAATGCATTTACATTTTATCAATAAAACATTAAAAACTCACCGTACTGTTTTCTTTCTTTTTCATCCAGTTCATCGAAGTTTGGTTTCAGTATTAAACATACTTCACGCCATGCTGCTAACTTTAAGTTTTTGTCTTTATAAACGTCTTCGGTCTTATCCCACAGAACAGGTCTCTCTTGGACAAGCGTAATTAAAGTTTCTGCTTGAATATCCATGCTAAACGTCTACTTTTACCAGAACATGCGAGCCGAATGACGTGAGTGGAACACGGGCGGGGCGAGGGGAGCACGAGCAGGGCGAGCGGGGGACAGATACCGGCACAAACTCGTTCACATTACTCCGGGCCCGGTCGTTCTACCGGCAATTCGTAGTGACAAAACGTTCGGTAGAAATGCCGGGCTCGGCAAAAATGCCGGACCCGGGATAATGTGAATAGCTTCATATAAATTGTACAGCCACTAGCTCTTCCGGCAGATTTACCGGCGCGGCAGATCTGCCGGTCCGGCGTAGTGGGAACCCGGCCTTATGATTTGCCTGTCGAATGGCATTTGCGCTCGCAATGCCGTACCGCGCCCGTGTTCATGAGAACGCGTCTATACAAGTCCATACAAGACTATAAAGACGGTTGCCGCGTCAAAACCGTGCTTATACTGGATAAGGACGGCGGTCACGGTCGCCGTGCCATGTGAAAGTTCTCATTGTTGGTCATATATTACTACTTTTACACGACACGGCGATCGTACCGTTGCCGTGTGCATATGAAAAGGGCGTAAGACTTCGAACGACTGTTTTTTTAATAACAAATAAAAGGCACAATTTACTGAAAAAAATATCATTTATTTTATTAAATTTTCAAAACTCCTTCCTCCAACTTGAATACATACCGATAACTTTTTAAAAAGTTATGCTTTAATTGCCTAAAGCTATTTGAATATTCTTGTTTTATTTTTCTTTGCGCTTCTGATATTTTTTGTCTTAATTCTGTTTCATTGTTGTTTTCCTTCGCGTAAACCAGCTCGGCGCGCCATCTTGTTGAAAAATCATTACTCCTCGAATATTAAGATTAACATCTTCTAACAATTCACAAAGATTGTTTTGCAAAAAATTTAAATATTCCTAGCCATTCAACCTAGCGGGCAATTCAAAGGGTCCAATTAACTCTCCGTTTACCCCAGATCAAAGGTTGACACTAAAGCGCATTTGGAAGTTTGACGCCCTTGCCAAATGTGGGGTTTCGATGGTCCAGCTATGATAATTATGAAGGTTGAACACTCCAGCCCTTTCGAATCGGGACTCGTCGGACCATAGTATTTTATTTAAAAAGTCAGGATCTTCTTCAGATTGTTGGATAAAAATAAAAAACATCGCTTATTACATAATTTGTTTTTATTCATCATCATATAAAAACATAAAACAAACATATATATTATTATTATTATCACTATCGCTTTCAGCGACAGTAATTATAAATCTGTTTGAAACATTGTCGATCATGTGGTCGATACCATACATTTTGTTTTCTTCTTTAATTATATGAGAAATGCTACTCCATTTTTGAGTTGTGATATGTTGAAGTCCTTCTTTAAAAAGTTTTTTTATTTCTGACATTTTGAAGGTTTTGTTATTTCTTACAACATATTCTTAGCCTGTGCCCGTACATACTCAATAGGATTCAGCTGGTATGGTATGGTATTCAGACGTAAAACAATTATCCCATGCTGCCATCTCGTCCACAACATAATTATCGCAATGTTCTTGTTTGTGGTACCGTACAATGTCTATGAGAATAGCTTTAACCATTTCTGCTTCGAATAAAATATTTTTGCTTGTTAGCCACTCTTGTATTCTAGGTTTAGTCCAAGGCATTTTAGGTTTTAGTTTTGGCAAGACCCCCCTAAACCACTTCTCAAAGGAATCGGCATTCATCTCTTGATGATAATCTTCATTTTTTTTGGCTTCAAATATTAATAAGCTGTCTTCTACGAATCCTTCTTATATATAATGGCCGATAATTAATCGTTTGCCTTTTCCTGAAGGCTGTTTTAAGCCAGTGGTCAAGCCATCTAAGAAGGCCTGGCGGGACGATGCCACTGTCTGGTCAATCCATGCCTTCTTCGGTGCATGACCTTCAAGATAGTGAAAAATATCAATTAATTATTAAAAGTTCATTTTAATGTAAAGAAAACAGAAAATTGTAATTACCTTCGTTGATCCAGGTTTCATATTGGTGATAAATATACCTTCCTTCCCTTCGATACTCTTTAATTTTTCGAAGGTATCGGTGGCGCCATAAAACATTGTCCTGTCTATAATTACAACTACAATATTTGAAATTTAAATGTTTCAGAACATTTCTTAATGTACTCCAAGAGAAATTGGGTAAGTCTGGGTCTTCATTGACAACCTTAAGAATCTGTAAAGTAATAAAAAAAAGTTTTTGATTAAGGAAGTCAACGCAATCTAATACTTTGGTTTTACAAAGAACATTATGGTGAACACAAAAAATAATGCAGTAGAAGGAATTAGTTTAAGTTACCTTTATTATGGTGGGTGACTCATTTGCATTAAAAAAATGATGTACTTTTCCCCTCATAGCGGCAAAAAAAAATCGTTTCTTGTTCTTAAATTGTTCATTTTTTTTGTATTCTTTTAACACACTGTGAACTGAGGTCACACCAATTCCCATAATGTCAGTTGTTTTCGAACACATTCTGTTTTTTCGGGAGCCTCAATAGGTAATTAATATATAGGTAGAAAGGTGAAGCAGCTTTCTCCTCAAATACGTGTTTGAAGACGTTTTGTATCATAAGTTTTTCGATACCGCTTAAAGCAATCCGTGATCTCTTCTTTCTTGGAGACAAGCTTTGGCTTTGGAAACAATATAGCAACAAGTAAACACAACAATTACCACAAACACAACGTAACGAAAAACTTAACAAAAACAACAACTAAACAGCGTGAGCGAAGAAAAAACATTCGTGCTATCAAACCAGAGTTTAGAAGCCGAATAACAAACAAAAAGCGCCGGCGCGCGCGGCGTTGATCGGTGTTGGCACTAGTAGCCGCGCGGCGCTTTGTAATAAGCCGTCAAGAAACTGATTGTAGTATGTAACTACAATTTCATCACATCACAGCACTTCTATACAATTTTATTGTAAAAAAAGAAATAATATTCTTTTATTGTTTGAAATGATTAACTATTCACACTTATTGTTCATTCATCTGATTGAACTAGAACTGAATGCATCACTATTACTTTAAATATGTCAAAATTATTTTACAAAGTGACATTAGCTACTGTCAGTTGGCTTCATCTAATTAAAAATACGTCTTTAGTGAATTTCTGCAAAGAATTGTGGCAAGAATGATTATTTGGCAAACAGAGTGTACCTTCCAATGTTTGTAAAGGGTGTCCAGCGGAATATTTTCAACTTTAGAATTTAATATGAAAAAAACTACATCGTTTTTATTTATTTTTATTTCAATTAAATGCAGAATAACAATGCGGATTTTATTTTTAAAAACGATATCATTCAAATGATGGTCGTTTTTTTCAATGCGCAAGAGTGCATCGGACCCTTACATTTGCGATTACGCGACGGAAAAGCAAAGAGTAATGCTTTGAATTTCATGGTGAATGTTTTCCTGTAGGGCCTGAATTGTCCGGGGATTGTTGTTGTAGACCTTTGATTTGAGGTATCCCCATAAAAAAAAAATCGCAAGGTGTGAAGTCTGGTGACCGAGGCGGCTATGGAATGTCTCCGTACTTGCTGATCAGTTTATTCGGAAAAACTGTCCTTAACCTTTCCATCGACACCCTAGCTGTGTGCGGAGTGGCACCGTCCTGTTGAAATTGTGTTCGGTTGTTGTACCCTGAATACTGCTGCAATTGCGGTAACAGAAACTCGTCGATCATACGGCTATACACCGGAGCAGTGACTGTCTCACCTTGGTTAAAAAAATAAGGGCCAATTACCCCGCTCGCTGAAATGGCACACCAAACTGTCGTTTTTAAACAATGTAAACGTTTTTGATGGCGCTCTCTAGGGTTGTTAGGGCACCAGTATCGCATATTTTGTTTGTTAACATAGCCATCAATATGAAAATGTGCTTCGTCACTGAATAAAATGTTTCTAAGCCTAAGTGCTGTCCGAAAACGTCCCAGCATTGTTCTTGCGAAGGATTCTCGCAAAGGATAGTCATTTTCGTTGAGATACTGAACAATTTGCATTTTGTACGGGTGCAGCTTTAATTTCTTTTTCAAAATAACATGCACTGTTGATTTTTTTATTCCTGTAGAGGCCGCAATCTTCCTTATTGATTTTCGTGGATTTCGAATAATTTCATTTCGAACTTGAGACACATGTTCTGGCGTTGTTGCTGACGTTGATGGTCCAGGAATAGGTCTGTTTACCATTGTGCCTTCTTGCCTGAATCTTTGTACCCACGACCAGATAAGTTGCGTGCTCGGCCCATCACTTAGTCGTCGAATATTAAAATGAGTACAAAAAGCGCGACGTGCACGTACCAATGATTCACTGCACTTCAAATATTGCTCCACCGCAAACGCGCGGTGCGCTCCCGACCAGTGACTCATAGCGACTAACAAATCCGCAAATCGTACACTTTGAATGATATCCCTCCTGCTTACGTCACCCCGCTATTATTTCGATAATCGCAATTTAAAATTTAAAAATTCCTGCTGGACACCCTTTATATCTCTGCCGTGGGAAAATTGAAGGGAAGGAAAGCACTAACACACTCTGAGCTCTCTCAATTTTCAAAAAGTTGGTTATTCTTATATCCGTAATAACGGATCCACCCCATGAAGAGATACAATAGCTCAGAAAGGATTGACATAGTGACAGGTAATTTATTAATGCGTGATTAGCAATGAACCGCAAATTTTTAAATATATACATCAATTATCTTATTCTACCTGTCAGTACCTCAATATAACCTTGAAAATTAAGATTGTTGTTTAGCATGACTCCCAAGTATTTTACAGTACTTGTGGAGTTGAGTTTTCGACAGCTGCAGTGTGCTTTGGTTAGACATGAACCAGCATATGTGCAAGACCAGGAGGAATTTCACGCTTCGTTATTGCGAAGGTCATGAATGAATGGTCTTTTCGGTGTTAAGGGCCAAAGAATTGCTATATAGCCAATCAGATAACAGATTCAGACCCAGCTGAGCATGTTGCCTCAAATCAATCTTGACCATAGAACATCAAGAGTGCGTCATCAGCAAAGGCTAATATTTTTGCATTTCTCAAATTCATCCCACACAATTCATTGATGTAAATGAGGAATAATGTCCAAAAACGCTGCCCTGCGGCACACCGAACGCGAAGGTCACAGGCAACTTGATACTAGTCCAATCCTCCACCCTCACAATTTACGTGCGTCTAGACAGGTAACTCGTGAAGAGTTTGTGAGTTATGCCCCTGATGCCCATTCTCTCCATTCTGTGGAAGAAGATTTCGACAGAAACAGTATCAAATGCTTTGCACAAGTCAATGAATACACCAATCACTTTTTCCCTCCTGTTCAAATTCCTAACTATAAAATCGGTCAAGCGAAATTACTCTTAACAAGTCCTCAGACCAGAAAAAAGATGTTCTTGGATTTCATCGTCAGGTGTTCCAATAGATTTAGTGTGAGTGGGCCTAGAAATATTTATTTATTTACACTTCGTTACCATATAAAACAGCAGGTTACATAAGTTAGTAGGCAACGGTCGGCCTTATCTCTTACAAGCTATTTCTGCCAGGCATCCCTAATATGGAACAAAATAAAAGATACACTTAGGGTAGACCGAGGCGAATCGTATCACTTTTTCTTTGTGGTTGTGCAAATCATACTAAAGTTTTATATAATGTTATTTTTATTGATAAAATCGTAAGAAGTAACAATTAGCTATGAAATAAACACTTGAAAACTAAAATCACACATATATTCTCTTAATTAGCTATTAAAAACTTAAAGAAAAAATCCGAATCGCCCCAATTTTCGGGGTGAATCGGATCGTACACAACATGTAACAAAATTTTAAGTTTCTTAACACCATAAGTTTGGAATGAGTAGAAAATTAATAATGAGATCAATTTTAATTATTGGCACATAATTCACATATATTTGTTCCTTTTCCACCCCCCTTATAAGCACATTTTTCGTGGCACCATTCTTTGCAAGCATTGCACTGAATCCAATCCTCAGATGGTGGATGAACGATTATTATTCGTTCTTTTATTCCTTCCGGCTTCCGAATAATTAATTTTTTATTTATTTGTATGAAGCGATGAAACCAGTCCTGACCAGCCATTCCAGCACTTCTGTCAAATTTGTATTGTACGTTTTGACGTTCTGCAAATTCAAACGCGTTACGCTTTGGGTGTAATTCCGAAGCCACGACTTGCCAAGTGCAATAGCCAGTCAGCTTACCACTTTCTGTATTCTCATATAAAGCTTGCTGTCCACATCAACCCTTAATAATAACCCAGAATAAAGTAACTCTTCTCTGTAAGCTCGTGAACGGTTTGTAGTACCGTAAGGTCAAACTCTTTGTTCTAGACTTTATTTACAGCCTCTTTCATTTTTTCTTGAGACCATTCTCTGGCATCAGTCTTTCTTTTGTACGTGCGAACCATTTACATTGAAATAAATATAAATCAATAACCACAAACATGTAATTTACATTGTTACAAACACATAAATAACCTTAAATAATATACAACAATAGAGGTACTATTGTTGTATATTATTTCAAACTTTCAACCACTACACTTGTGTGGGCCTGGGACCTGGGTATCCGGAAGCTGTATCCAGGATGCTCCCTTCCCTCGGTAAAATAATATGCGCTGGTTCGGCTGTCGCGTGTCAGTATTATAAAAAGGAATCCAACAATCGATCAGACTAAGACTAGCACTTACCATAAACGGTGGTGTGTCCCACTCCAAGCACTGGATCCTTAAAATGGTGAATAGAAATCAGTACGGTACGGTTTGCGGTATATCTTAAGTGCGCACGCGACGGCGGTTAAAATTTAACTATCTCTGCCATCATGCCGGAACGCCACCTACCATCTCCGGTTCGTGTGTCAAAGTCAAGATCGATAATTGTCATCCTTCTTTGACTGACACCGATTTAGCGCGAACAGTAACCATTTTTCCTTCAGTCTGCTTTCCGAATATGCTGACATTTGTACATACAAAGCAGTAGCACTCTTCTTCTGAGGACGACAATGCAATTTGCATGTTTTTCCTGCTCTCAGTATTTGTTTTAGACTCCTACATATAATATTTTCTTCTCTTGCTTAGCATTGGTGCGTTTCAGTCTATTTTATGTTCTTTTCTTTTTCAGGTGTATCTGTGTAGATTAATGATTTTCTAGTTTTTCGTCCTCTATTTGTTAATTCCTACATTTTACATCTTCATAGGCTTGTTTGTACGATGATAAATCCTCAGCTCTGGTTGTTTTCTCTTTGCGCGCCCTTGGCACCTAAGCAACAAAATAATTAGATAAATACCGTACCCAAAAAAAATGCTTCACGCGTTCTGTTTCGCGAACTCTCTTCCTAATATAAAATTGTTCATAGCAAGCATTATTATAAATTTGCTTTAAATCGAATCATACATAACACAAAATTCTCAATATGATGACTTTTATAGAATCATAGTAATTACAAAATGAAACGAACAAAACATAGTTTTCAGACAACAAACACAATGGGGTCACCTATTAGTCCGGGAGGTAGCGTTGCATTTTAGGCAGTGATTTTATGCCGACTATTTTCCTTCTTTCACTATTTATCTCGAAATACTTATAACTGAACCAAGCGTCAGCTGGCGCACCTGCGGTGGGTTTGGAATTGGGAGGTTGCGAAAGAAGTAAAAAAAAAATAAAAAATAAAGTAATAGTACGCTGCCTGAAACTTTTTCCGTAAATAGTTGATGTCATACTGAGCAAAAAAAAAAAATCGTCAGCTGCATCGTGAAGGGGGGATTATGCGTCAGCTGCTCGCATGAACTTGTAATAAAATCACATGAAATAAAGTCATTGTACGCCGGATGAAATTGGACTACGTGATCGTTTAAATAATTCAAAGTACGAAAATAACAATCAGCTGCGTGTATAGCGGTGGAAAGACCGTCAGCTGACGCAGTAAAGGTAAAGGTTATTCTAGAAATGCACAGAATCTTTCTCGATATATTTTTGTCTCGTTTTATTCGTAACAAAATGCACGCTATACAAAATCGAAATATAGAAATAAAAAGATCGCAAAAGTTATTCGTTGTCGATGGTATCGCTATCATCATCGTTGTCTGACGAATCATCGGCCGAACTGTCCTGCAGGACATTTTCATGTTCTCTTCGTCTTGATCAAGTTCTTGACCTCGATTCTCTTCACCGTCATCTGTAAATAACCATGTAAATTATCAAAATTAGGCTACTAGAAAGCTCAAAGAAAGTGTCACCGACAAAAATTCCATACCGCCAATATTTTCGCTGCTATCCATTATACTGGTGACTGATACGGGTACTTGATCTCCTTCGAACCATTTGAAGACATATTTGTCGTCGTTTTCTTCCCATCCCCAGTCCGTGGGAGATAATTGAGATGGCTCTTGAAGGTGAGCATGGCTCCAAAGGTGCGCTATGTATGACGTGCGCAGTAAATGCTGGCGTAGCTCGGATTTACATGGTGGGAAGATCGCCCCGTCGATATGGCTTTTCCACTTGAGCACGTCGTTTTTCTCATTGATTTGATAATTTTTCGCGAAGGTAGCAACGCGTGTAGCGTTGACATCGTTTATCGATTTAAACCCGTACAAGCGACAAACAAATTCTTCAATCGTTATGAAGACCTCGTCTAATTCACGACTCGGAATATTTGCGGTATCCCCCAACGCTTGCATATACGCCTGTGATTTTCGCAACAATTGTAAAGGCTTTTTTTTTCCTTTCCTGTAAAATGCGGGATTAAAATCACAGCCTGTGAGGGCATGAAAACCTGGCAACGCAGAGCACAAATCGGTTCCCAATTTTTCATATAACTTCGTGATATTAACGAATCTTTGGGAATTTCCGGAACCAATGTGCATAGTTATTTTCATATCGTTGGCAATCGCATTCATATTGCCGAGCATTATCACGAAAATATCCGTGTCTGAGCATCTTATCGTAACGGGAGCATCGAAATCTAACGCACAGACGTGAAATACAATTTTCGTATCAGCTTCTTCGTGAGCCGGACAAGATAAATTGTGATCGAGGGTTCGTAGAACTTCATTATTCTGTACTTCATATTTATAACAAAACTCGTAGTTGATATAAATCGTCTTATTGCCTATGTAGCTCGCCATATAATTATTTCCCCAGTGGTCACAAAGAAATTCCACTAGGGCTGCTTTGAAATACATATTTTTCAATCAGTCGCAAAATTAGCTGGGCGTACTTGATCGGGCCCATTTATACGGTACTGTTGACCTCTAACCCTGCCTCTTAACAAATGCTCGATATCTTTAATCGATGGCGAAAAATAACGATCAAATGCAACTATAATAATGCGCGCATGATTATTCGTGAACATTTGTATTAGTTTCTTTGAAATATTCCCAAATGTAGATGGAACGTCTTGCAATGCATGGAGCATAAAAAAGCCATCATAAATAAGTACGTCGCATCTTTGTGGTGTGTTGCTGTCAGTTTTTTTTTCGAGTATTTTTAATAAAACTGATTTATCCGTTTTACAAATTATCCCATCTGCATGGCACATAGCTAAGGGAACTGGTGTTAGTGGATACGACAGAACTTTATCAATGTTTAACGTTTGCTCCAGAGAAATTAAAAGCAACTGTGCAAATAAGTCGCGTTGCATGCGAACTTCTATTAATTTACCAGAAATGGCTAATTTTTTCTTCGGCATTGCATCCACAAAGGTCAAAATTTTGTTCCTTTTTATCTCTTCAAATCTTTCTGCATCTTCAGAACATTCTTTTATAAATTGTTCTCGCAACTCAACAACAAGTTTGTTATGATTGAGGTAATTTAATAAATAGATGATTTATATTATTAATATCTTAAATTATAAGTACTTAAATAATAGTTCTATTGACAAGACCCACGATTCGTGGTGTTTTCTCAATGAGTGACGCGGGAAAATGTCGGTGTGATCTCGGGCGTTGATTGGTTAAGAGAAAAAACAATCAAGCGGGGCTAGGGTCCGTCGGAAGTAAAAAGAGTTCGGGTGGGCATTCTTTGTTGGGGAGCTATTAGAAATCGTCACAAAACTTGTTAATGATTTATCAGTGTGCTAATATAAAATATTTATCAAATCTATAGTTCTGTTATTTATGACTACGTTCGTTATAGTACTCTTCATTTCTGTCTTCGTAATAGTAATTGTAGTCATCAGAATATTGATCATATTTATACCTAGGTTCATAGTAGTCATAATTTGGGTAAAAGTTATTGGTTGCACAGTTATTTAAATTTACGTCACGAGTTTTAAAATAATTTGTAGGTCGTGGATTTCCGTGTATACGCCAATTGTGTCTAGGTACGGATTCCTTTGTCACATAATGACTCATGCTACTCATTGGAGTTAGACCAGTTTGGGGTTTCAGTTGAGGACGTGGGGGTGTACTAAATACATTACTTTGAGGATTATAATTAGGTTGAAGGGCACGGAACATTTGTTGGGTATGTGTGGGCATTCTACGTGGGTATTGTGGGTTTAGGATAGGCATTCTAAATTGGTAAGGAGGGTTACGTTTAGGATATAATTTTTCTACGAGGCTTACAAATGATTGATTCGCCCCTGTATCAATCAATAGTTTTAAGGGTGGATTTGTAATCTGTATGTACGGAAGTTGTCTTTGTGTTTGTAAATTTATTTCTATTTTTGCTTGTCTGATTTGTGAGTTGTCTGAAAATCCTGATTCAGTAGGAGCCTCGTCTTGAGGTTCCTCTACATAAGCAGGTACATAGTCATTATGATAAAGATGTTGCTCATACATTTGGTAATCCTACATTACTGGTTGGTAGAGTCTTAACACGTGCAATTGGAACAAACATCCGTTCTTGAAAAATCTGCGTAAAAAGCTTTGTTTAACTAGATGGACTGCTTGTTCATTATAAATTCGCCACAATTTTATTATGTTCCACGTCGAATACAAGTATTTTATGTCTGTGGTATACCGACTATAACGTGACTCGATGCACTGCAAAGATTCTATGAAGGTTTAATATTTTTGTGGGAGGTATGATCTCCAGATTTTCTTTAACGAGACTAGTATTTTTTTTTAAGTTTCCGCTACTCAACTGATTATATTCGTGGTATTTGCAACATGCCCAAAAACGATGATTGGCAAACGTGAAGAAAGGTGTTGGAATTCCGATTTTTATGAAGAATAATAGAGAGTAATTGGCCTGGCGTGTACCCTGTATTCCCGTTGTAGACCGACGCCGTTGAACTTCAGTTTTTCTTCTCCCGTAACATCTCCTTGTAGCATCCTAGGTTTTTTTTCCATGTTTTGTAACAAAAATGCGCTCTTCATTGGTGTCTGCTTTCCAAAATTGTTAACCCTTTTTCAATCGAACTGAGGGCTTCTGTCAAGTTTCCAACTGTCACTTGATCTTCTACTTGAACTGGATCCAAAGAATCATGATTATCAATTTCTTCCTCTTCTTCACGCATTGTTATGAGCTCATCAATTGTAACATCATCACTATCCACATCTAAATTTATTTGTCTACCAAGTTCGACAACTTCTTTGATCACATTGCAAATTTCATCAGGCCCCGGTACTGATTCCGCCTGAGTCTCAGTGGAGAAAAAAAATGGACCTTGACTGCGCGGCGTTCAAACAAAAAACTAATAGACGAGAAAATTAAATCGCGTAACTCCGAATTCGCGTAAGTCGGGGTATTACTGTACAATACACTTATGGTCTAACTTTAACAATTATTCTCACCTGAAATACAAAGAAACGACATTTAATGTTCACTTATCCTTTAATCTATCTTTTTACAAGACAATGCACTAAATTAATCTGCCCGTCATGCGCCATTTAACCTTGACCTAGCAACGTTTACAGACAACTTGTAACGCGCTTAATTCAAATGAATGAAATATCATTTCATTAATAAATAATAATAAAAAACAGGGGGCAGAAGGAACCCTCTACCGCAATCACGTATTGCGGGTCATTCCCTCATCAGTGTTCTCACTTCCGCATCTAACTCATTTATCTGCTGCTGGAACAGGAGATCAGCCTTGGGAATGTTCTCCACAATTCTCGGGTCCATTATTGTGTACTGAGTGGCCTGTACTACAAGCTGTCCGGTTCTTTCAAGACTCTGTAGGTAGCCCCCCCCGGAGACCGTTACGGTCGAAAATAATCCGGGAACCGAACGCGACGCCCGCTCCGAGTACAGCGATCTTCCACCACCGCTGGCTTCGACACTGGATCTGGTGATGAAAGTATGAATGCGGGCTTGACTCTGTCCACTGAAACAGTTACAACTTTACCGTTAAATTCAATGACAAAGGTTTTATCTCCTATTAGCAAGGAATATATTATAAGTTCTGCACAAGCAATTAATTTTTTTTTTTAAACATTTAAAAACTTACCGCATCAATGTTACTCGTACAAAGGGCATTATTTCAGTCACAAGTAACTCCACTACAGGTTTATTATCCTAAATCTAAAAGTGAACTCGGCATCGTTGAGGTTATGCATGAAATTTGTTCGTTTTGTACTTCTATGTTATAAACCGCGTCTTGGTCCGTCATTGTTGGAATCATCACTTTCCCAAACTGATAATTGTCTTAGAACTATTAGTAATCCGAGATAATTGGGGGAGATTGCAAATCACAAAACACTATTACTCCCGAAATTCAAGCCATTTCAAATAATTTCCATCAAAACACAGTAATCTTATAGTTGGCAATCGAATTTGATTATTTAAGTGGTTATTGTTATTACTACAGTTACTTCCAAGTGAAAGTCTACGTTGGGCAGCCCTCGTCACGCTCTTCGCGTTTTGACACTATTTCCTGACTGGCTTTCAATTTCGATTCTCTCTTGTAAAAATTTATCTAAATTGCTTTCCAAATCTAATGATTCTATTTGAGTTTGTACCTTTCCAAAGCCTGAAAATATTTCTTTTATTATTGTTAGTCTTAAATTAATGTAACTTATATTTTTGTCGTGATGCTATCGGTTTCAATTTGTTCAAAAACCAAGTGAACATCTTTGAATACTGTTAATCGGGCTTTAATTGTACCACGTTCACGAACTAACAAAGCCAGTTCGTCATTACATATATAATTGTTAACAACAAACAGCAAAGGCAATTTTATATAAGAGTAAAAAAGAAATGACGCGGCTCAGTAGTCAATCAGCGTCCTCGCACCAAGTTTTGAGGACACAAGTTTTTCTTTTTATCTACTGGAAATAGTTACAGAAGCCTCAGTCATCTGTTTCGGATGCCAAAATCATCTATATCGCAAATCATATCCGAAGTTTGTCAAGAAATAAAAACGGCATTAAAAGATCACATCAAGGTAACAAATTTTCTTTATTTTACTTTTCTCATACTTTTTTTAGAATTTCCGAAAGCATTCATAATAATAATGGCGTATTCTGGTTCGTCACACAATAAATTAAGTGAATCATCAGTGGCTTGAGTGTCTGTAGTAGATGCTGGACTAATTGAAAATCTATTAGAACTTGGAGCAGGTGCTAGTAGTGTGTGAGAATAATTCGTATTTCTATATCTCAAATCGGTCAGTCTACATTCTGCCTCTTTTTCAGCAATTGCTTCTTGTTTTTTTTAATATGCTTTGCATACGATTCTTCGTCCAGAGTTCCAGCTTTATGCATGGCACATTCATTACATTGATCTTTTTTTGGTGTGTAAAATGCTAAGTTCATATTGTCCATAATTTTTTTTAAAGTTGTCCTCGATACTTTAGTTTTTCCTAAACAAGCAGATCAACAAGTTGGCCATAGAGGTGCAATAAAAAAAATCTATTTTTTTGACATACGACATATTGCGGTTTCCATGACGTTATTCAGTACGGGCTATTAGCGCCATCTGTTAGCGATAGAAGGTACTACCTATTTCCGCTTGTGTCCACCAGATGTCGTGTCACGTTACTCCTCATGGCTCGTACTCTACGACTAATCTAGAAATTACAGATAGTGACAGGAAAATTAATAATATGCAGTGTTGCCGTTTTGCGGACTTAAGTCCGATTTGCAGCCTTTTTTAAACGTAACGTAATTTTTCGGACATTTTTTTTCATCTGTGGACTATTTCACTTTTTACCACCGGCAACAATGATAATATGATTTTGGCCTTCGGAACTTACTGGAGTAATCACTATGGCCCTAAGGCTGGAAAGTTTGGAGACCCCTGATTTATACGCATCGATCTTTGATGAATTCATACGGATATAGGGGAAGATCGTTACCCTTCGTACGCGGGGCACATTCATACAGTCAAAATAAAACTTGAACGAAATAAAGTACAGTCTTGCTTTTGTATGTGTGCATGAGTCGAGGTACCAACTATACATCAACGAAGTTTCGTGAAATTCGCACCGATGAGAGTGAAGTTACAGGCATAGACGTGTTTTCGCGCTCGGTAAGTAATTTTTTGATCTATGTTTTTATCTCTTGTTACCGTAGATAAAATAAGTTTTCGTGTAGAGTATTCTATCAGTAACTAGCAAAATATACTTAAGATACGTCTCCAATACTTAATTTATGACGTTTTCCTATTAATATTAAAATAAGTTATATTTTGTTGTTATTCAGTTAGTGGGGTACATTCGGACAGCACTAGATGGGGCACATTTGTACGAATTGTACAACTAAATTTGTATAATAATTTGTCGACGCGAACTGTCTTTTT